CCCATGTATCCTTTCATCCGGAAAGTCCACTTCCACTTTCCAGGCTTTCATTATAAGAAAAAGGGTAGGAAGGGAAAGGGGACTAAATTAGGCCTCCGGGACGCCTAGACCTAGATTTAGACGATATATGATAGTCAGGTGGAAATATAGTACATTAATATAAGTACGAACACGCAATATCAATTTACATATCGAAATGTTAACGTTCATACAAAATCACAGGTTTTTTTAATCATTGTACATCAGACATGTTTACCCGTTTGATAATGGACATAGAAATACGAGTATAGGATTCAAAGTACGCGTGGAATTGCAAACCGCTCGCCTGACATGACTGCGACATTACAATCTACACTTTACAACCACAATGCCTTAATCAAAAGCGTTTGTTGTGTTTTCAGAACTAACTTTACACTGAATCGATTTGAACAGCTGCATATACGTGTATTCCAAAATATATTTTATTTATATGGAATAAGGTTTAAATTTGTTTGGATGTTTGATGCAGACTTTTCAATGATCAAAACTCATATTACAATCTGCAACATGTCTTATGTCTATCGTTATTAAGTTCAAATTAATGTAATCAATTTATTATAACAAGTTGGAAGTGTATGATGCGAGGGTTGGTTCTGGCGGTATGCCAGTTGCGACTTAGTCATAAACGCAAATACCAACTTGATAGGGGATCAGTTTGCAGTTAACGCAAAGCATCAACATACTAACTCTCACCACTCACATCATATAAATGCCGATTTCAAATACTGTTAAATATGTGCAAAATGCCGATTTCAAATACTGTCAAACTGTTAAGGAGAATTAGATGATGATAATAATGTTTTTAAATGTAAGAGATTCGCCAGTGTCCAAGGTGAAGTGACAGAACAGAAGCAAAATATTAACAAAACCTAATAGAAAATTGATAAAATTGTGGTTTCTGTTTGTAAAGTGCATGATTCTGACGAAAAAACACATTTTTCTGTTATTTTTGTCGCCAAAACAGCTGGAACTTAGGATAAAGTAGTAAGTAATTTAGGATATTTTTTTTAAATTCTAGTTGGCAAACGTTTGTATTTATTTTATTGTCATAGCTAAAGAAGAAGAATTATTTTTAATATCCTTGGACCGTAATTAAATTGGATAGAAAATAATCCGATTATCGAGTTACAATTTTTTTAATCGATTTTGTATTGTAATCGCATAATGAGGTAGGCATTACTCACGAGCTCGCGAATTATAAAAAAAAGGTTCATCACTTCATTGTATGTAAGTATATTTAAGTATGAAGATATAATTCTACTGATTTTTCTATGATAATGGATTTATGTATCAAATTATAGACCGTTCTTTCAGACAATCGACTTAGTAGAGCACGACCCGAATAATGCTTCCGTGTCTAATTGCCCATGGACGATGGATTGCGGCCATTCGATAAATATAATCGATTAAAAACGAATATTTTAAAAACAGTTTTAATAGTCAGTTCACGTGAAAATTGTATGCCGAGGGATGATTAGTGGAACACGAGCTTAAAAAGTATATTTCACAAAAATTTAGGGTACATCATCATCAACATCAGCTACGTCCCTACCGAAGGGCTCGGAGCCTATACTAAATAAGAGGTGACTAAGTCATAGTCAACCACGCTGGCCAAGTGCGGGGCTGATTGACTTCACACATATCTTTGAATTTCTTCTCAGATATGTGCAGGTTGGATCACTATGTTTTCCTTTATAAAATAAGTAACGTTATCTAATTAAATCATAAATATGTTCCCGTCGCGATACTCCGTAGTAATATGTATGAAAAAGCCTTACGCTGTATTTATTCACAATTCTCATGATTACTGCGCATGTTTGTTGCATAGCAACGAAAAACGAATGCATCTTGTCTCCACGTGGTATCATTTCAAGAAAAAAACCTCGCTACGAACGTTCATGTGCTAATTGGAGCATGTACAGTTGACAGTTTCCGCGGTTCTCAGAATTTCTGTTAATGATATAACTTTAGATGCACATTTTTTATTAAGTTTGAAAAATACGTTGATTTCTATAGCACCGATGCAATGCCTAAGCGAGCAAGAGATGTCATTGATTTCTTAATTATACTTGTTTTTCATGTACAAAATTATTTACAGTTTTAAAATAAAAGACGTAATATGCATACTTAATGCATATGGAAAATAACACAGAAAATTTGTTAAATGAGCCGCCTGGTAGTCTAAAGTCAGAAATCTAATAGTGTTTAAAGTGTTGTGCATAGCGCGAGTTCTCGTCGATCGTTTCTCTGGCCACGCGTCACCGAGCGCGAATAATCCATTTGTTGATAATCGGAACGCCTTGCGTTATTGTGTTTTGAGTTATGAACATTTTGTCCAATGAACTATTATATCATTGTCATTGTTGATCTCGAAACACTCGACTGATTTACAACGTTCATATTTAGATTTATGAATACATTTGAGTCTTTAAATACGATCGTAGAGGTACATTTTAGCTGCCATCTTCAACTAAACATGGGTTTCTGACACCAAAATCCCTTTATATTTTCTTCAGACATTTTGATCTCAGAAGTCAATGGTATAAGCTAAAAAAAATTATGAAAAAGGATATGTTTATATTATTATAACCAGCCCTTTTATAAACTATTATAATTAAAAAAAAATGTGTAAATATGCGACATAAATAGTTGTATCTTTTGATTGCGTTGGTTTAGAAGGTTTATTTTTTCACAGCGCCAAGGGACCGCATACCTGAGTATTTGATATAAATTTCAGCTTGATACCTTCACGCGTTTTTGAGAAAAAGGTCTTGACAGACAGACGGACGGAGAATAAAGTTATCCTAAAAGGGTTCCGTTTTTTTCCTATGAGGTACGGAACCCACACAACTAACGCTTTTATTTTGAGTAACTATTTATTTTATTTTATCTGTTAACGTAACTACATTATGTTGGAAACTTTCAATATTTTTCGTTTAAAAGCCTGTGTAAATAAAACGTTTTGATGCCACTTGGCCGTACAATAATTTGTCAATGTTATCACCATTTTGCCATTGATACTTTTTAAATGGAATAGATTATCACAGATTGGTTTATAATCTGCAGATAAAAGATGAAGGTCGGTTGTAAATTCGATAGTTTTTTTTTATAGCGCCTGTGATAGATAATTTATTATTTTTATCCTGTAAGTTTTGATTAAATTCCTTTCTAACGTACTATCGAATGCTAATTTTGATAAGATTAATAAAGATTAAAAAGATTTAGAAATACGTATTAGTAGCAAAACAACTTAGATAAATTTTTGTGTTTGGTTTTGCGTAGTATTCTGAAAGTATCTATGTTTTATTTGCGTAAAAGGTTCCGATACTTGATTTTCATCATGTTTCTTATAGAAATTTCAAAGCTTTTATAGTGAAGTTGAGATTTTATTTTTAAGCAAAGAAATTTTAATGCTCTAGAAAGTTTTTCTGGATTTTTTAAAATAAATATTTGCAAGGTAATAACTGCAACGACTTTTGAGCTAGTAGCGAGCAAGACCTTGGCACCATTAAATAAAAAATATGCAAAAGTATTTGAGGCGAAAAATTTACTTTTAAAATGCAGAAATTGAAATTAAGTCTTGGCACAATTTAAAAAAAATATTCAGTGTATAAATATCGAGTTACCTTAAGGTCCAAAAATAAATACAGTAGGGTCTAAATTGCGTTATAAAAAGTAAATAGATGTAGATGGATGGAATATATATCCCTTGGGAAGACAACTGGGGTGAACGACCCAATTCTTGACCACCTAATTTTTTAAGTAAAATATATTTTAACCAGGTATTGAACTATGAGTATTTACAATTGTTTCTTGTGTAAAATACTACGATGGTTATTTTTTTTATTACTTTTCTTGTATGTATATTATTTAATCTATTTGGAAGATTGGTTGCGTGGGTTTTTGCCTTGCTTGTTAAATTTTTTATGTCTAATTCCAAAGTTAATTTGTACAAAACTTGTAAGGTGGTACCGAAGGTCATTTTGTGATGTCTCATTGAATAGAAATGAGCATGTAATGATAATTAAGTGAACATAAAAAGCTGTAGAATTTTAATGGCGTGATAGATGGCATGGCACACGAGTAATGACCAGCTCTAGGCATTTTTATGGAATTCTCTTAAGGCCTTTTTCAATTTCGTTTCTCATCCGAATTTTTACTAATTTACTTTATGAATATACGTATATTTTACCTAAAGCTTTGATGATTTTCTTCTACATATGTAGAAGTTAGCTTATGAGCGCAGAGACATATTATAGGCTACTTTTTTTTTTTAATTCTGCGCTGACGAAGTTGGACGCGACCACTAGTTTGGGTTGCTATATTTAATGTAAAAAAGAGATAAAATAGCGAACACACACTACTGGTATCCACATAACTATTAAGGAATTTAAAATTTTTAGAAGGGAAAAAATGTATATGATCGCCCTTGCAAGGTTAAAATTGTGATTGAACGAAGAACTGGTTTTGCGGTTTATTTCTATAAATATTAATACTATAATAATTTTAAAATGTATTCTTGAGCAATACACAATGCTATAAAGTTTTAAATGTGGAAAAACCTATGAGATTATGAGGAAAAGTAAAGATTAAGAGAAATAGTAAGTGCGTAAAATTGATCAGCGTATAATCTTGTTAATAGTTCTAGATTTACATCTATTTTGATAATAATTTGAAGTGACAGCTACAGTTAAGAAATTTAAACGGTCGGTCGTTTCCATACAAAGATATTGTATCTCACTGTGCCGTAATTTAATAAAAAAATATCTTTTTGCATGGATGCATCGACAGTGGAATCCAACGGTAAAGTCAATCTAGACGTCCTTAAATGCTTGAAGTTTAGACCTTGATCATTAGTAGTGAAAAAATTTACGATGGTTTGTTTGTAGCGAAACCAGTCTCATTCATTCCAATGTGTTGTTTTGTCAATTATCATAACCTTATGTTTGTCTCTTTCACAGGCACTGAGAAGAAAGCGACGGATGCGACAAGTCAAATTAAAATTCAGAAAACTCGCGAGTGCTCTGGTGATATGCCGTGAATTTTGGTGTTATTTTTCCGTCGGTTGAAATATTTCGAAATCTGTTTAAATTCTAGTTGTTAGAAAGATATGTGAGTGCGTGATTTTTTAAATTAATTTTCACTTATCAAATTCCGTTCGATAATGCTCAAATTTCAGTATCGTGTTAATAGTGGTTAATCAGAAGGTTCCTTACAATGGCTAGTGATTTAATTAGTGTAATTCTTCCACGAAGTGAATTGACCCGTGAATTTACAAATTTATCATAGTTTTTTTTTATAAAATGAATTGATCTACAAAGGAATTGAGAATAGCGCCATCTGTCGTCCAGTAGCTGCAATGTGTATATGATAAAATGGAGGCCGGTTTCATACCGGTAGCCACGAGCGGCAACGCTGGAAATAATGCGTTGCCGCCTGCAGTGGTGGCGCCACAAGTAAATGTGGTACGAGCTCCGGGGCTGAAGCGCGGGAAAATGGAAGAAGCGATTTCTGATCGAGTGAGTACAATTTTCTGCTTTTTTTTTTCTTAATTTTATACACAAACTTTACTATATTATATCTCTGTATCAATTAATTATTTTAAGATTCGCTAATACCAAAATTGGTGATCATCTTTAGATTATTTTAACCTTTATTAAGAAAAAGCTAAGCTTTGCTCGATGAGGCCCCTTCAACTATTAAAGGAAGAGGCTCTTTGTGTTAAGTGTTATCTTGAAACGTGAAAAGAAAAGGTAGAGTCGTTATTCGAGTATAAAAGACGTCTCAAAAATTATGTAATGAATATTAGAATAGAGTACAAAAAATGTGTTTTCGATTAGATATCGATTTTATAATTAAAATATATTAAAGTTTAATTATATTCATTTCAATTATATGACTTAAAAAGTAATTCACTGTATTTAAATTAAATTAAAACTTAAATAATGTTACGCAATCGTAAGTTACTAAAATATTTATAAATGAAAATTGAAGATAATAAAAACTTTATGAACTTGTCACATATCAGCTGTGCGAAAATAACTTTGTGTGTTTTTTCAATGAAATTGCTTTGTATTATTATTATATCGCGTTAAATCGAAAATGAAATATTGCATTGGATCTACATCCAATTCACTTTATAAGCACTACTGCTTACAAAGTGAATGGGTCTGTTAGAATCGGTCTGTGTGAATATTTCATATTAGAATTAGAATGGTCTGAGTGCTTTTACTTGTAGTTGAGGCTTCGAATAGTTTCATTTTGTTTCATAAATCTTACAATTGAATATTCCTAAACATTTTATGCTGCACAGTAAATAACTACAAATAGACCAAATTCGGTTTCTACAGTCGAATTTCTTGTATAAAAAATTTATCTCATTCTTTTGAAAAAAAAAAACAATGTTTTCTATAGTCGGTGGCGTAGTTGTTAAGCGTCTGGACGGACTGAACTGAAAATCATATACTTCTAGGGGGGTTAGACAAAGTGCATTGGCTTCGAAGCGATTCTATGACAAACTTCAAAAATGTATGTAATTGTCGCGCGTCAATTCCATATATTTTTAAAGGATGATATGGAATCGCTTCGAAGCTAATGCATTTTGTCAGACCAGTCAGGTTCGGTCTCTTCCTACCGGTATGTTTTTATATTTAAAGTTAAATTTTCATTTATCCGGCGTTTTGCGGTAATGGTGTAAAACATCGCGATGTGTTTAATACTGATCGACGACTCTTAATGCAGTAGTTAATCTTTGAGATGATGGAAAAGGCTTTTAAGCATCTATATGACTATATGTAATTAGAAAGATTACTAAGATTTCTCGAATGCTAGTATTGTCATTGATTGAGGAGTTGCGTTCGAGCGTAAATTGTTTGGAGAACTAAATTAAAGGCTAATTACATTCCTAACGATCGACTTGCCTCTTATGAAGCACTTGCAAGGCATTAGCTATTAAGGTTAATCGATTTAGACGCTTCTAATTCTTTAAAACTAATTAATTGGAAGTAATACTTTATATAGTAAACGATAATGATTATGAGTGATAATTTGTCATGATTGAAGTTTTCTTTGATGCGCATTTTGTAATAGTTATTGATGGTAAAATTAAGATGATAAAATATTTTTTTTTTGAGTCGAATGATTCACAATAATACTGTCGCCCGCGACACCGTTACTGCTGAATTAAAAAAATAAAGAAAGATGGGGTAAAGTAAAGTACATAGTATCACAAAGAATATAGTCGCAAACATAATTATATCGATGGATTCGACCGAAAAAAAGTATTAAGAAGGCTCTCATATTAGGTGTAACGAGGTCGGGTCGGTCGATATGTCCTTTATTGACTTGTTTTTTTAGACACAAATCCTTACCATGCCATGCATGCATTTGCCATGTTTAGCTTCCTTGTACCTTTCATGCAGAATGACCGTTATGTAAATTTTACTCTAAGGTTGCACTTGCACCACTTTTGGAAGTAAACACAGGATACGATTCCGTCAACTTCCGTCATTTTAGACTTTACCTATTTAATAAACTAATACTCCCACCATGCAATACGTTGGGGGACTAATCAGTGACGCTGTATGCGCGGTCCGCATCGGTCGTGCGGCGAAACGACCTCTGTCGGAATTTCTCTCTTGCGAGAGTAGTTTGAGAAAAAAAATGGTGAATTACGTGCCAGTGTATGTGTAAAAGTGTTTTAAATTGTAACCGGCCAGTGAGTTATGGTTTACGTATGTTTAGCTAAGGGAGAGTGATGTTTCACGTATATCAATTTCACCTTTATATGCGCATATTAAAGAGTAATCGGCTCGTTAGAAAGATCGCTCTTTCATGAAATAGCATGTCGCTTTTGTTTGACGTGTGAAAATACACTAACGTTTTTAATATTTCTTTATAAGTTAATTATGATGTCCCTTGAAGGCATTTCGTCAAAATGTCAAAATCTGGACAAGGACCTTGAAAGCTAAAATTTAAAATAGGATACTCGACTGAACTGTATAAAATGAGTTAGAAATAATTCTGAGGGTATGAATAATACGTCGGATAGTATGACATCCGCTATCATTAAGTGTCGATGAAGTGTTTTTAGTTTTTAATTTAATTATCTAATTGTATTATTTAAAAAGAATAAGTATAACTTGTTAAGAGCTCCCACAGACTAAAAATATTCTTTTAGTAATTTCGCATTATGTACTTTGAGAGTTGCCTAAACGGCATGTTCGTGTAGATTTTAATATCGTAAAAATATAGTTTGACATTTTATGCGTATATCTACTCGCCTGTATAGTTATTTGCGGTGTTAAGATAACGTACTAAACTTAATAGTTAACGCGAAACAATCTCGACGCACTAAAGCAAATATACCGATAAGGTAAATATTTGAAACGTAATTAAAGAGGCCGCTTGTATCTCTTGAGCAACTTTTAACATGTACCGTACTATCTTGTCATTTGCAAGTGTTAATCTACAGAGTAAACATTGTTTACGCAAGTTTTGTTATGCTAATCTGAATTTATAGTGTACTTTAATAGTAATTATTTTGATACTCTTTTAAGAGTTTATTAACCGTTGGTTTCCGAGACCAAAATCCCTATATATTGTTATCTCTGTTTTGTTAAAGGTAATGAGAGAGATAGATATATTTATGTAGGTATTTTAGTCTCAGAAACTAACTATAAATGTTATGGGTATGGCGAATGGAGTGAATGAAAATCTCTAGGGATGTTTATAGACAGTTTTAGATCTTCAACATATAAAGCTAAAGAAAAATCTTTGAGTAAGGGAAAGCGAGAAAGGTTTTCCATTGAAATAAACAGTAGAATCCACTACTGAAGTTCCTAAACGCAATGCTTTGGTTGAAATTGAGGTATTAATGCTTGAAAAATAATGTTATTTATAGTTTTAGCTGTATAATAACTTAACTCTTATCACCTCGTTATTATGGCCTAGATAGCGTCCAATAAAAGTAGGTTCATAAGACGATCGCTTAACTTATTTCTTTATAAAATAAATTTTATTTAAAGAATAGTCTTTCATAACCATCGTGAGTGTTTATGTAGACGTAAAAGGAGCTATGTGTAGGTGTTAAGCAAAATCGTAATTCGATCATTGTCATAACTTGTGGGTCATGGACGCGTGTATCTATGAATATAACACATCGACTGGTAGATAAACCTTTTATTCTAAAACTAGCTGTAGCTTTTCTCTGCGCGGAATTAAAAAATAATAATTAGTAGCCTATGTTCCACATCTATGCCAAATTTCAGCAAGATCTATACAGCTGTTCTGCGTATACCTTCTAACAAACGTCCCTACATTTAAACATTCGCATTTATTAGTAATATTAAATAATTTGAATAATTGACGTAATTCATTTTATACTTTTTTTTTTAATATCTGTTTAAAAGCGATCTCCGTTATTTACAAAGAGAATTAGAACAGCGATATTTTTTGTAGTTTTGGAGTTCAAAGATTTTAATGGAACATGGAACTTGATTCTTTCCGCAGTTAAACAGTACTTATGATATATGTAAACTACGTTTGCTAATTATTATTATCGGTGTCCACCCGCATGGCAGTAGGCAGTGCTTTAGGTGTTGGAAGGTCGAATAACATATTAAAAGTTATAAAACATTAACTTCAACACTTGTGGGATTGTCTTATGTTACACCTTATTGTTTGAAATTGACCATTTAAAAAGAGCATCAGCAATAAATCAAATTATATCTCTTTTTATCTATAGCACTCAGTCACTTGATGGTCATTTAAGAGTTTTTTAGTTCGCCAGTTCATGTTTTGAATTAATACACAGCTTCGTCGTATCATCTGTTTAACTGGTTTACTTGTAATTTATGTGACAATGTAGTAAATCTTTTAAAACGTGTTTTCTTCAAGTACTTTTGCATATTTACACATGTTTTGCCCCACTGCGTCATGATATCACTGTATGTAAATATTGAAGCACTGAGAATACTAGAATAAACAATATTTAAGTCTACTTATCTGTACTTTTTAGTTTTTGGTAACGTAAATTTGTTTTTGAGACTAAGTATTTCATTTTGTCATAATATGAAGAGATTGGGACATGTGTGACTAACTCTATATATAATATTTCCCCACCAATTTCCCGCATTACGGGGTTAATGTATTCAAAATTTTATCACATTCGAAAGACATATACAAAACACTTCTTATGTTTTCGTTTTGGAAGAGAGTGAAAAGGATGTCAATATGTTTTTATACATTGGATATTTGGTATTGATGATTTGAAATTGAAACTTTTCTTTTATCTTTAGAAACCATCTGTTTTTCGGTCAAGCTTAGTACTAAGAAATACGTGAACGTTGCTTTGTGTCATAAGAATATGAAACATTGTTTCCGCGGGACATAAAAGAAACAATACCCCATAAAAGGGAGTCACGTCTCGCCGCAACCTGCATTCTCAATGCACTTGAGGTCTAATGCCTCATTATAAGTCTGAGGAAGTTATTCTGACACAGTGCCAACTAAGGCGTTT